ATTTCAACATTGGCGATTTCAGAGTTTTCCCTTTCCTTTTTTTTCCTTCCCCTTTCCAATATTTCTTCCTGTTCTTTCATTCCTCTCCTTTCTCGCTTTTCCCTTTCCCTTTCCCCGACAGTAATTTCAGCGATTTCAGTGATTTCAGTGATTTCGGAATTGGCATTTTTTACCTCGTCCCTCTCTTTCACCTCGTCCCTCTTGTTCCTCTCGTCCCTTTCATCCCTCTCGTCCCTCTCATCCCTCTCGTCCCTCTCATCCCTCTTGTCCCTCTCATCCCTTAGCTTCCTTTCTTTAACACTTTTTTTTCTCATCACTTCTCTTTTTCTATATACTTCATAATTTTTTCCTCCTACCCCTTCTTCCTCTTTTTTTTTGTAGTGGCATTTTTTTTCAACTGTTTCGATGGCAGGAACCTTTCCTAAAGGTTTTATATATACGTATGTTCGTTATCACTCATGGTTTGATAAAAGAAAAAATTTTTTTAGAATTATATATATTAATTTGATTATCATTGATAATCAAATTAATATAAACGATTATGAAAATCACAATTTAATCGGTGATTTTTAACGATTATGAAAATCGCAATTAATCATTTGCCAAAATTCGACTCGAATATATAGTTGACTCGCGATTCCTATCCCTAACGAATATATGTGAATATATTTGAAAATGTATTCGGATATTTAATGCGGATAAATGCGTGGGTAATTAAAATATATCTGAATATATTCAGTTCAAATATATCTGAATATATTTGCTATTAAAAATTTCCTGATATAATTCTTTCAGTTCTTCTAACCATTGTTTTCTAAAGTCATCATTATAAAATTTATTTTCAAAGGTTTAATAGATGATAGCTCAATTATGTCTTTCATGATTAGCAGCTCATTCAAGATATCAGTTACAAGTTTCTTTTTTGAGATATGTTCTAATTGCATTTTTTTTATGTTTATCATTCTAGTTATTAGTACCAGTAGTTATAATAAAATCTTCAAGTCATTCAACTGGATTTTCCTCATGGATTCCTGCAAACTTAAGGGGTTTTACTAAAATAGCAAATATTTTTTTTTCGTTACTATCTTTGTTATTAAGTTAATTTTCTAAGCTGTGTTCACATTCTTCGTCATTTCTTTTAGCAATGTTGTGTTCAATAAGAAAATCGTGATTAAAAATATTTTCATGATTAATATATTGATCATTAAGGGGTTCAAGATTAATAAGATTATTATTATTGTTTTAAAGGGTTATTATTTAAATTATCATTCTCATTGTTTAAAATAATAAGGAAGTTGTTTATATTGTCTAAAGAAAACCTTTCTTTCAGATTTTCTTCCTCAAAAATTTCGTTTCTGTTTTGTGTTAAAATTGATTAGTTATCAGCTTCTGATTTACTAGTAGTTATTATTATTTGTTCGTGATCTTCAGAATAATTATTTCTGGTACTTTGGCCTAAGGGTCAGTAAGTTGTTTTGTCATCCATTAGTTCAAAAATACTTCGATATTTAATATTATTATTGTTAACGTCATTGGAATGGACAGTAGTTATACTATGTGAATTTGATAAAGTTTCTTCAAAGTCAATTGCTCTGGTTTGAGAAAAGGTTGGACTTATTGGAAATATGTTTTCTTGACAAACTTGAAAAAAATTAGAGTTATGTAATGGAAAAATAGTAGTATTTATTCTTGGAGGTGTTTACTGATTCTGATAAAATCGATAACGAGGTCATATAGTGATAATAGGTGAATTGATATCAAGTTGGGATAAGCTATATTGATATTGAGTTACTACTTTCTGTGGTCGATTTGGTTGTTGATTTGTCACTTTTAATTTAATAGGCAAAAATTATCTTTAAGTAATTCTAAATTCTTGAGAACTTGTTGACAGTTGTCTCGAATCTTAAAGAGTAAGTTTAATTGATTTTTAATTTTAGTTAACTCTTGTAAATCAAATAATTTTCAATAGGGATCCTTAGTTGTAAAAATTTGGTTAACTATTTTTTTAACTTTTTGACTATAAAACATTACTACTTCTTTAATAACTTTGTTTAATTCTTCAATTTGAGTAAAAGAAATTATATAAAATAACTATATTAATTTAAGGGTACTAACAAGAATAGGAAGAAAGATTGCTAAACTAACTAATTAATTGGATCTCATAGTTACCACCAAATTTGTTAACCTTGGTTTATCTTCTAAGTAAATCAAAGAAAACTAAGAGACTGGTAGTAGAAATTATATTTATAGACTTTAAATGCTATAACAATTAACTACAGTCAGACAGGTATTACCGTTAATAAAGTAATGATAAGAAGGATTTGGATAATGCGAATTTGATCGAAAGAAGCAAAGAGTGTGAGATTTTGTAAGGGTTTATTAACTAATTATTATTACAAGTCACGAAAACAACAAAGTTTTATCAAGAAACTAAACAGATTCGTGAAGAACTTAATAACTTAACCTAGATCACTAAGCAGAGTTAAATTTTAAATTACTATAATACCAAGATTACAAGGTAGGATATTATTAATCAACAATTACTTTTATCATTAAGAAGAGAGTAATAATAATAAGAATTGTCAAGATCACAAAGCAAGACAAATAATGAGAGGGTTTTCACTAAGAAAGTCACAATATAAACTATATGATTCACCAAGAAAGATATCAGTTTATAAATAGTATTTTTATTTCGAGTTATTAGAATATTCAATTCTATGTTAACTGTTCTTTTAAGAAGAGCAGAAACAGCTTCTATTTATACAAAATTATGATCATATCGTAAACTATAATTATTAACTTCAAGAAAACTTTAGAAGTTTCTGTAATATTCTAACATAATTATTAATAATAAAGGTATTTTACCTAGATATTTTATCGGTAACTGCCAGAGATATTTTACCTCGCATCATGTAATGTTACATATCAGAGGTATTTCACCTCTGATACTCGAATTATATAAACAATAAATATTAATAATTGAAATATAATATAAGAATATAAATATACTAAACTAAAAATAGATAAAATAATACATATATGAAATATTAATATAATAATAATAATAAAATAAGTTATACTAAGAATATATATATATATAAATAGAGAAAAGTCAACAGTGTAGAAAATATTTTTTTATACTTATCAAATATCTAATATATATATAAAATATTTTCTACATTGTTACAGAATGAAAATATCATGATAATATATACCTGCTGCCCAAATCCCAAATTATTTTGGCATTATGGCTGCCAAAATATGCCAAAATTATTTGGGACCCG